AGAGGAGAATGGAGGAAAAGGGATTGCGGCATGACCATCCCCCCTAGGGGGTGATTTCTCACTTTCTGTCTCTATGTCTCTCTCTGGCGAGCGAACGCGCCCTATAGCGAAAAATCTCTCCAAAAAAAAAAAAAACAAACTAATCTAGACAACATCCCAGTTCATAGGGGTGAGGATGGCAAAGGCAGGGAAGATGGCCACCTCTCCATTTAAGACTAGGAATCACCTCTGTGCCTCCTTAGTCCTAGGAAGGTCGTTCTGTTCCTTTTCTTATCACTAAACAGGACAACATCTAAAAACAGTTCTCATGCCCAGTTTCTAGAAATCCTCATGCTGACAGCTCAATATCTGTGCCTTCTAAATAGTCTTACATTTTGGAAGATGAATTCTCTGGCAATATCTCCATCTCTAAATTCAGTCCAACCAAATCCAGAACTAATGAGATTCAGCTTTGTCTAAGCAGAGAACAGCATGATTTTTTTGGGGGGTGGGGGGAGGGGCAGGGAGGGCGTGTAGCGGGCACATGCACTTGTCGGAAGACAAAAAGGACAAACCCCCTACGGGGCATGGTTATGGCGCAATCCCTTTTCTCCCATTTTTCTATCTTGTCAGGATTCTAGACATGCACACACACATGCAGGCATGTTTTTCAAGCCACAGGGGCTGACACTTGAACTGCCTTGGCTCCTCATGTGCAGTGCTTAACCACTGTGTTCCAGGGCCGGCCCATGTGACTTGTCTTAGGTTGAGAAGAAGCCAGCCCCTGCAGACTCTCAATGTTACAAACCACTTTAAGACCAGTTACTAACTGGGTTCCTGGACCTATTGCAACCAGTGAGACCAATCCAGAGCAAAACCTGAATATCATTAGGGATCAGTACGATATTAGAAAAGGAATTGTTTTCAAACCAGTCTAGTACGCAAAGCCAATGTGACAAAATGGCCAGACTGTGCCGTGGAGAAGACCTACACACGCAAGGGCCGAGAGTAATGGCAAAACTATCACCACCATTTAATTTAAAACACCCTCTCCTGCTAGAAAGGGGTGTGTGGTAAGTGGCTAAGGCATTCTGGATCCACATATGTCTTTTTCTCAATGACTAGGCATGGCCCTTCTGAGGTATCCAACACGAAGTGAACAATTACAATTTTATTCCTTTCCTGCATCTATCAGGATGCAAAGTCAGCCTCTATTCTTACTCTACAAAGAATTCCCGGAAATTCTTCCCAATCTTTGCGCAAATATGGGTAAGGCTACAATCCTGCTTACCGTGTCTGCTGATAAACCGGATACAGCTTTCTACCACCAGAGGAATAGCCTGGCTGGAGTCCTGAAAAGCCAAAGAGAAATACAACTTTAGAATCATCCAAAAGGGATAGCCCAGGGTCAGAGAAAATGGACCACGTGATCCGGAACTTGTCAGCTACATCAGTCGCCACTCCACAGAGAAGCAACTGGCCTGCCCGAGCTCCAGTGACAACAGTACAGCCACCTGGCTGGAATGCCACACAGATACCTCAAGTTCAGCATGTCCTAGACAGATCTGATTGGCTTTTATCCCAAACCAACTCCCCACTCTGGCATATGCTAAGTCACTACATTATGTCAAGGATGCCTCCTAGCTCTCTCTCAAATCTGTTTCCTTCTCTCTACCTCTACAGCTATCAGCCCAGTTTGACCAAGCAGAATCTCAATTCCCACCCTTGCTACACACATTTCTCTTCCTTCACATAGCAGGTAGGGGATCTTCAAAAGTGCTCACATCTCATCACTTAAATTCTTTCTCTCTCTTTCTCTTTTTTAAAATAATTTGCTACAGTGCTCATGCACTTGTTGGAGAAAGACAGACAGAGAGGGAGAGAGAGACAGAGAGACAGAGAGAGAAAGCGAGAAGCATCCTCCAGAAGGGATGGCCATGCTGCAATCCCTTCTCTTCCGTTCTCTTGGGGAGAACACACACCCAGCATGTTTTTCAAGCCACTGTGTCCAGGAATTGAGTCTGTGCAGTCAGTCATGTGGGATCTAGTAGCCCTAACTGTGCCAACTAGCTGGCCCCATTTAAATTCTTTCAAAGACTTCTCACTACTGTTCACAGTTTTGTGTGTCCAGATCCTGCCTTGGCCTCTAGTTTCATTGTCTGCTCCTCCCCTGGTCTTTGTCATAGCCACCCTGGCTGCCTTTCTGTTTCCCAGGTAAGTCTTCCTATGCCTCTTGGCTTTGCATGAGCTGTACTACTGCTGGCATGCTCCCCTCAACCCAGACGGTAGGCGGAACTGTGTGGGTGTGAACATTCGCTTGCATCTGTCCTCACTACAGCTCAAGGGCAGATCCTCTGTCAATTCTTGGGTGCTCATTGCTGGCTGTAATGCTCTCACACAGTAAGTGTTCAACTAATAGCAGCTGAAGGTAGCAGGATGAAATGAGAGCCCAGAAAGAGGGTTTGTATGCACGGAAGGTAAGATAAAGAGAAAAATCAACTCTTGAAAATAGTGGTGATTAAGTGGAACTAAGCAAGAAGCAAATCTCCTGCTTCTTTGTCCATCTGTGCCCCGCCATTTTGCTGTACAATCCTGCCCTTGTCATTTAACTTTTTTGGGTCTCTGACTCGCTCATCTACAAACTGGGGAGGGGACTGGTGGTGAGGAGAGTAATATTTCCTATCGGCACTTGAACCCCAGTGCCTACTGTCTACTGAGGAGTGTACAGAGATGTTGGGCCATGTGCTGAGTCACGTGGCTGGGTTGGTCCAGTAATAGTGCTATTATTAATACTCACTTGAGGAAATGGAAGCTCAGTGACGTTAAATAGTTGTTGATGGTTACATAGACGGTAAGTGGCAAAACTGGGACTCAAATCCAGACAATCTCCATCTGCAACTGATCACTTTACCAGTACTCATACTGTATCTTAAGAATTTAGCCAACATTGGCAGGTGTGCAAACCAGTAGGGTTTTAAACTGCAGCTAAATGCACAATAATTCAGCCATGGGGAAGAAAGAGATCAAGCAGGGGAGCCCGAACCTAGCTAGAAAGGGTGGTAGATGCTCAGGTCAGAGCTTGGACTCTGACGTGGGATGGGTCTGGGTGGCTCCTGTCCATCTTCCAGGTTTGCCGGTGCCCCTCCCCTGGCTCTGGATTTCTCACTGTGTCTGCGGGGTTTGGCAGCTGGATCTCATGAAGAAGTCTGGCTGAGAGAGGCGGCTTAGTCTCTAGCTCTTGGCTTGCTGGCAACCAGGGAAGCTGCCAAAGGAGTAGTGCATGTGCCACGGTGGAGCTGGAGTCAGGAAGGTCTCAGGACCCAAACGCTCATCTCCATGACCCTCAAATCCATCTGCTCCCTCTGCCTTTTCAGTGACATCAGCCTGTGCTCCTGCTCTGTTGGCCTCACTGACTTCTAAAAGCCAGGTTGGGATGCTCTCTCTTCCTTACTTTAATGAAGAAACTGGGTTCCACTATTTTAAAAAGAGAAAGATAACTCTACTTTTGAGAAGTCTTTTTGTTTTGATCGACTTCTGTTAGCATAGTCTGCATTTATAAATTGTGGGAGCAGTGATCACAAGGACAGCGATATATGGGTTGGGGAAGTTCTGTTGGTCCCAGATGTGTGTTTCCTCCCTCTGGGAAGGAAAGTCAGGAAGCCCATGGGCACTGGCTTCACCAAGTCACATGAGTGCAAGATTCTGCCTGGACACGTGGCAATGGAAGATCCATGGTAGTTAAAGGTAAGCACACAGAATTGGCAAGAAACAGAACATCAGATATATTAACCTGCATCTCCACGGTTACCAAAGGCATGTCAGAAGTAGCCCAGAGGGGTAACCTGTGGCAGGTAAGGGTAGGCCAGAGACCACCTGTCTGACTGTAGAAGAGGGTTTTCCAAGTCCCCACTGCTCCAGGGGAGCCTAAGCCAGAATCCAATGGGGGCACGACATGGACAGTGATGAAGGCTTAGATTGCTCCTGCTATCCTCCCTTCTCCCTGGGCCATTTCTGGGCTGTGAGTAAATGCATTCTCCCACAAGGTGCCTGTGTGCTCTGTGGTCTCCTAAAGACCCACACTTCGCTGACGTTGCATACCCTTGAGTGAGCAGCTTCTACACGTGATTTAATTCACTGTTTGTTTTCCTGTTCTTTTTCTCTTCCTCCCTTCCCCAGTGTTAAAATCCATGCTAGTTTATACAATATTTTTGGTCATATATTCTCAGGGTTGGAAGGGGTCTTTCAGGACAAACAGGCCAAATTCCCATCCAGTCAGATTATTAGAACTTTCAACCAAAAGTGAAGGGAGAAGGGTAATAGCCATAATTTGGAAAAGACCGTAAAGCAGTAGTTTTGTGATGTGCAAGAAAAAACAATCAGAAAGGTACCTGGATGATGTCTAAACACGCATTGTTTGGCATCCTTTGAATAAGAGGGTTAGGGCTTTTGTTAGTTGCTGATCTCTATTACATTTGTTAGATTGCTATTTTTAACCAAGGAAGAAAATACAAGTCTTGACAATTGATTAGATGAGGGTAATGAGGAAAAAAGACATCAAAGATAAATTGGGGGCCACGGAGACAGTGCGGCATGGACAGTCCCCATTAATAGAGAAGTCAGGGGAGGGGCTAAGGAAATCAGAGAGTGGTGGGAGAAGTTGAAGAGACTGCTGCTCGGGGTAGGAGGTGCTACCTCAGCTTTCAAGTCTAAATGTCCAGGCCGTCACTAGTTAGATCCAAAGATGCAGAAAGACAGCATTACAGGACAAAAGGAAGCTCAGGAAAGGAGAGAAATTCATCTAAGGAAACAAGAGTGACAAGGGAAGGAATATGGAGAGAGGTCAAGAGAGGACCAAGCCTTGAAGAAATGCCTGACTTCAGAGGAATAGAAAATGAAAAGCCAGTAAAGAATACAGGAAGTGATGGGTAAGAGACAGAAAATGCTGGGCCTGAAGGCAGCAGGGGTCTGGAAGCAGCAGTCAAAGTGTTTCCTTCTTAAGAAAGAACTGGGAAGGTTGGAATCTGGTCTTCAATAGGGTCAGAAATGAAATGATTGGAACCCATTAGAGACCTTAAAAAATAAAAGTTACCTGATTGTTCCTCTCGTTTGGCTGATGTGCCATAAGTAAGCAAGCGAACAAACATTTATTTCCTAGTTACGTATACAAGAATTCATTTCCAAGTTCCTTACTATTGGGCTGTCTGGAAAGTCATGACGCACGTTTACACAGAAAAATACATCATGACTTTCCCAACCACCTAATATTTTGCCCATCTTAGGAAGCCTTTTTCTGGATTCCCATGAAATCTGAACTGCTAGAGAGAACTAGAGTAGGAGAATGAAAAAAGGATCATTATTTGATTGAGGGTTTGGGTGTATTTGTGGAACTCTTTAGCAAATCTAGCACCAAGCAGATACGCTCTGCCTGTAAGTATTTAGGTGCTGAGGGCAACACACCAGATGGGAGCCCTTCTCCTCCGATGGTGAGCCCAACCAGGATGCACAGCACCGCAGACAGTGGGCTCTGGACTCCTGCAGCCAGGGCGAGGCTGGGAAACTCTTGACCAAAAGTTCCACTAATAAGCAAGAGGCCCAGGCAACCAGCAGGTGGCATGGTGGTTAAGACGCTGGGCACTCCCACATGTCCAACCACGGTTTGAGTCTCGGACCTAGAAGTTTGCTTTCTCACTTTCCCTATCTCTCTCTCTCTCTGTGTCTCTCTCTGGTCAAATTAAAAAAAATATAATAAATGAATGAATAAATAAAATTCAATAATTCTTTAGAAAAACATACGCAAGAGGCCCAGCAGTCTAGGAACTGAAAGGAACAAACTTCAAATTCACTTGTGTTGTTAGTGTTAAAGGGAAAACGGCTTCTGTTCCCTTCAAGATATCTACCTATTCATTTTAAAAGCAATAAATTATCCCTGGGAGGCATTCCATTCCTCTTTCATTTTAAATGAAATCATAGGTGAAAGAGGCAGAAGAAAGAAATGGAGGAGCAAAAGGGAGAGTTGCAGTGAAATTTTTATACTTCAAAAAAATGTGTTGTTGCATCTGATGGTGTACTCATTAACCAAAGCATAAGATCCAAAGCTGAAGTGGGGGGCACAGTGACAGCAAAGCAAAGACAGGCAAGGCCTATGTCACAAGAGTTCCCCAGCTGGCTGCCCACCCAGCCAGAGCTGTCAGTAAGCGGAAGACCCTGCTGGTGCTGCCGGCGACACGGAAGCCGTATGCCCTCTAAATTCGATTATCTCCCTGCAGCTAGAGCCACTGTGAATTACCCAAAATGATTTTTTAAAGCCTGGATCAGCTTTCCCCTGAGTAGACACAAAGATATTTCTGAGCTCGCTCTACCCCCTCCCTGCTAACTGCCTACTGCATAGCTGGTTTGAGCTTAGGGGACACAGAATCATTTCAGTATTTGCCATAAAGTGTAATTAGAAAGTCAAATTTGCTACTACAAAAAATACTTCAATTAATTTTTTTTTAAACAAGCACAAGTGCTGTTTAGATTATCCATGGATATGGATTATCCATGCCAGTGCTTTCTAAGATCCTTCCAAATATGGGTAATGGAGCTGGGTGCCCAGTGGCAGATTTTAATACAACCCTGAAGATCACACACAAACTGCAGAGCAGAACGGCTCTCGCCTGCCAGTCCGAGATCAGAGGTATCTCTGCGTTGTTAGCACATCTTAGGAATCCAGCCAAGATGACCAAACCACAGGAAACCGACAAACAAAATCTGCAAACTTAAAGCATGGCTGTCTGGTCTAGGTGACTTGCTGCTGTGAGTGGCTGACATATTAGTACAGATGGAGCAAGTGACATGCCTCTTTTGTGGTCTCCTGCTAAAGGACACCACAGGCAATTCTGGAACTATCTGCCCCAGTTGAACCAAATTTCTAGTGTGCAAGAAGAGAAATGACTATAGAGAGAAACAAGTCATAAAGACAGATCCCTCCAAGCAAAATTAAATCAAGGAAGCTGCCATAATATTAAACATACAATGACTAAATTGACTGAATGACATTCCAAACACGGGCATGAAGTCAGAAACGTGTCCTTCCCACATGGTGGCTCCATAAATGTCTGTGGAATGGCCTTGATTTGCATACCCAGATCAGTCCAGGCTTGGCCCTTACCTGTTTCCTCACAGTGGAGCTACGCCTGTGGTCGATCCCGCCAAATCAGAAGTTGATCCGGCAATACGGAGGAAAAAGAGAAAACAAGAAAATGAGACAATCACTTTTAAACCTCGAAATAAAGTTTTTAATAATTAAAAGTAATCTGTGTATGTATCACACACCAGCAGATGGTGTGGTGATTAGTGTGCTGGACTTCCACATGGCTAACCGTGGTTCAAGTCCTCACCTTGGAGGCTTGCGTTCTCACTTTCTTTCTCTCTCTCTTGTGAGCACATATGCTCTACAGCAAATTAAAAAATAATAACAATATTAAATAAAATTGAATACATAATTCTTTTTAAAAATTATTTTTATGTAACTTTATTTACCTATTTATTTATTTATTTATTATTTATTTATTTATTATCTGACCAGAGGGGCACAGAGTGAGAGAGGTGGGGGGAAGAGAGAAAGCAAGCCACCAGGTCTGGGACTTGAACCATGGTCAGCCATGTGGGAGTCTAGCACCCTTAACCACCGTACCACCCGCTGGCCCCCAATTTTTTTTTAAGAATTATTTTTACTTACTTATTTATTTATTTAAAATAAATAATTCTTAAACAAATTATCTGTGTGCTGGTTAATGAAACAAGTCATATTATTCAGCTCAGTTCCAGAAATCAATAAGAGATTTGATAAGTTACTTCCCAAAGAAGCTTTTTTTTTTTTTTGTAAAGAAAAAAGAAGTATCTATCCAATTTTATTTATTTTTTCATTTATTTTAATTTGACCAGAGAGAGACAGAGAGAAGAGGGAAAGTCGGAAAGCAAGCCACCAGATCCGGGACTCCAATCGTGGTTGGCCATGTGAGAGTATCCAGCACTTTAACCATGATGCCACCTGCTGGTCCCCACCAAAGAAGCTCTTTTCTTCACAAAAGCAGAGATCCTGGCTATTAATGTTTATCACCCATCATTCAAAATAGGAGGGAATTTATTCAATTTGCAGTAAGACATATTTGGGCTAGACAATAAGAAGGTCTTTCTATTCACAAGAAAATACTAGTAAACATCAAAGGATAAGACACTTGTCTTTCTCTTGGACACCCTGAGGAAATAAGGAAACAATTTTTCTGGATTTAAAGGGCTGCGAACATACAGGCTGGAAAGAACTTTGGGATCCTCTGAATTAATGTTTTTCAAGCTGTGTTTATCCCCAGAAACCTTTTATCAAAGGGAATCTATGTCAGAGGCCCAACACCCCAAACATGGAGAGCAACAGTGCCTGCTTTGTGAAGGGAGGGCCCAGAGCCTGGCTACCAGGTCTTGCTCTGCCCTTGCCAGCAGGCCACTCCTGAGGAACCTCACGGGGTCTTTAAGCTCTTCAGATCTAGTGTCATACTCTCGTTTTATAGAAGAGGAACCAGAGTTCAGAGAGGGGGGAAAGAGCAGCCCGAGGTCACGCGGATATAACCCGTGAGCAGGGGATTCAACTCAGCCCTTTTCTGTCCCATAGAGCCTTGTACAGGACCTCAGGTGAACTTCGACAAAGACTATCACCACAAAGATACATTCCACAGAATTTCTGTACGCTGGTTCCCTGCAGTCATCAAGAATGGTATATTAAAGGGATCTTTACTGTAATCCACAATGACAAAACGATGAAAGCCAAATAAAGCTATCTCTAAATAATGAGTCTATGATTGTAAATGGCCTCATGATTATTGTGTGTGTTGGCAGATACAAGTGGTTGATATAATGGGCCGAGCCTGAGTCTCTAAGGAGTCCAGCCCATTAAAGTTCTTTCCCCAGTTAAATCAGCATGTTTTCAGGCATCTGAGAAGTGTTGGCTGGATGAATGCTTTACTGTCTACCAGCTCACGAGTTTTCTCATAGCAGTGCCATGATTGGGAGGGAAAATATTTGGCTGGGGTGGAGGAGGGAGGGGAAGGTGGGGAAAGATTGGGAGGTTGCATAGCTGTACATTGGGCAAGGATTTCTCCAGTGCTATTTGGCAAGCCAACACAATGAAATATTTCATTATCTGATAAGAGTCACCAATTAGGTACTGTCAACTTTTCCATGCATTTCACAAAAAAAAAAAAAAAATCACAGATCAGATGCTATCTCCTAATCTTTCTCTAGGTCAAGACTTCCTGAAGCCCACAGGTTGCAATCTAGCAGCTCAGGTTAGGTTACCAGCATTCTCCTGAGTTGAATGTTTATTTTCTTTGCAATGTAGAGGCTTTTGGGAGTCTCAGGGACTATTTCAACAGATAACTTCCTTCACTCAGTTCTGATCAGCTCTTTCCC